ATCCATCAGGGTTCAGGTAGATTTAGAATTCGGTGATGGTGATGGAACTAATCTCTGTAGAGTAAAAAAAGTAGATGTTAGTTCTACATTTATTGAGAATATATTTCGGTCTGGGTTGGCCCCATAATTGTACGTGCAAAAGAGAATTGATTAAAATGAAATTATTGTATTTTTCAGGTGGCCTCCAAGAAGAAGAAAATTTTAGGAATCTTCAATTGATTAAATAACTTTTCAAAAAGTTGAACAATGATTATTCTTTTCCATTTATGTTTAACTCAAACAAAAAAAAACTATTTCAAAAAGTTGTATTCTTAAAAAATATGTTTAAATAAAAGATTTTTTAAGTTTTTAATTCTTTTATTCTTAAATAATATTTCTGAGATAAAAGTAAAAGTTTAAGTTTTTGTTCTAAAAAGTTTGTTTAGAAAAAGTAGAATAATTGTGTTGAAGTGTGTACCAGGAAAACTACTTTGTATTGGAGGCGACACAACTTTCAAACACATTTATTCTAAAAAAGGTAAAATTTTTAAGGCAGCTTTTACAGTTTCATGACAGCTTTAATAGTATTAGTTTCATGGGAGTTTCAGCAGCTTTTTATAGCCTCGGCAGCTTTAATAGTTTCAATGCAGCTGTAATAGCGTTTTATAGTTTCTGCTGCGAATATGGTTTAAGGGCAGATTTTTTAGGTTCATGGCAGCTATAATAGGTTCATGGCAACTTTTATAGATTCATGGCAGCTTTAGCAGTTTTATGGCAGCTTTAATAGTTTCATGGCAGCTTTAATAGTGTTATGGCAGCTTGTATAGTTTCATGGCAGCTTTAATAGTTTCAATGTAGTTCTATTAGTGTTTTGTATTTTCTTCTGCTGAAAAGGTTTCAGGGCAGCCTTAATAGTTTCATGGCAGCTTTTACGGTTTCTTGGCAGCTTTATTTCTTTAATGCCAGCTTTTACAGGTTCCTGACAGCTTTTATAGTTTTATGGCAGCTTTTACAGGTTCAAGGCAGCTTTAACAGTTTCAAGGCAGCTTCAATAGGTGCATGGCAACTTTAATTGTTTCATGGCAGCTTTAATAGTTTCATGGTAGCTTTTAATAGTTTCAAGGCAGCGTTTACAGTTGCATGGTAGCTTTGATAGTTTCAAGGCAATTTAATAATTTTATGGTAGTTTAAATAGTTTTCATAGCAGCTCTGTTAGTTTTTGAAGTCAGTAGCGTTTAGCGGGGCCTGGTAGCGTTTTATAGCTGCTGCAGCTTATAGAGTTTCAGGTCAGCTTTAATAGTTTCATGGCAGCTCTATTAGTGTTTTTTAGTTCTGCTGCATATTAAGTTTGAAATATTCTGAGTACAAGGATAGAAAAACAGATAGAGGAGACAGAAAAAAGTTTATGATCAAACAAATATTGGAACTTGTGAAATGCGTCGAAAAATAAAAGATGACTCTTTAACAATTTTCTCCTTATAGACGCAACAGATAGAAGTAAGATTAGTAGCAATCAAAAGCGATTATTTTTCGCCGTAAGCCTATAACCCCTATCATTTTCGCGAAGACTCCCTTTAAACCTTCCCTGAGGACAGAGTCATGTGAGGTCCACACAAAATTTGGACCCAATTGGTTCAGCCGTGTTGACGTTTATTTGATACAAACAGACAATTCTCCTAGTAAAACGAGGACATCTTCCACATTTTTAATTGCGCCCGTTATCCTTATAGGAATGTAATATCCTGGGGAAGCATGTTCTTATTAGTCCGGAACTAACCTGCAGGAAACATAATAAGGTACATTTTATAAATTTACAAATTTCACACCATTGCGATTGTAAACTTATTATAATAAAAAATATACAGTTTAACCCAGATATTCGGAAACATCGAACAAATTTAAAATGTCGTCTTTACCATTTTTAAATGAGTTTTATGCTATAATACCTACATCTCAGTAATTAAAGAGCTCCATATAATTATTCAATTAAAAAAACTAAATATATGTAGCATTCCATTATCAGTAGATTTAGAATACGACATTTTGTAAATTAATAAATTAAAAAAAAAAAAAAATTTCAGTGGAAAAGAAAATGAAGGATTAGCAGGGAGAATGGGGAAGACTAAGATAGTGTGGGGGGGGGGAGGGGTTGTAGCAGCAAAATAAGAGTGGGGGGGGGATCTCAGACCTCAGGGAAAATTTATAATCCAAAATATTTCTTGAAGTTTATGGAAATATGTTTATTATAGTAGAGAATATTTGTTGATTTACATTTCAGACTTTGAATCATTTACGCATATTGGTGCCATACATACCTTACATGCCGTTTATAGGTAATGTTTAAGATACAAAGCAAGGAACATACGTCCCACAAAACATGACAGTTGGTAAATCGTTTTGAGTGCCGTCTTTCATATACTGTATTAGATATTAAAGGCTGTTTGCAGTTTATTTTGTTTAAAAAATTTTTTGTTTAAATATATTTTACATTAAAGTTAATTTTACTATATGGCTCCAATATAATATTTTTATGATTGTCTTTGGTATTAAACAACTTAACAAATTCATGGAAGAAGACATTCTTAACTATTTACCAACTGTCATGTTTCGCGGGACACCCTGTATCTTTCTATCTTGCTTTAACTGTATCTCTATGTATCCTGTACAAATAGATACATACATAATACATATAGATATTGTAATGTACTGTATCTATTATATTGAATCTATTTTAAGCGTGTAATGTTATAAACTATTATATTGTATCTACATGAAGCTTGTAATGTTGTAAACTAATATACTGTATATATATGAAGCTTGTAATATTGTAAACTAATATACTGTATCTATTTGAAGCTTGTAATGTTGTAAACTAATATACTGTATATATATGAAGCTTTAAATCTTATAAACTATTATATGCTGAATCTTTATGAAGCTTGTAATGTTGTAAACTAATATACTGTATATATATGAAGCTTGTATAATGTTGTAAACTATTATATTGTATCTATATGAAGCTTGTAATGTTGTAAACTAATATACTGTATATATATGAAGCTTGTATAATGTTGTAAACTATTATATTGTATCTATATGAAGCATGTAATGTTGTAAACTAATATACTGTATATATATTATATATATGAAGCGTGTAATGTTGTAAATCTCTCTGTAAAATCCTGCGAGGGTTTGATGCCGACTATGATGGAGGTGATGGCTTCTCATCTCAATCTATCCTTCTCTTATATACTAGACAACAACGATCCATTTAGGTCAGTCTGTACTTTTCTAATATTTTTAAAGCAAAATATTGAAACTGTTTGTGTGTTTGGAGGGTAAATTTTGGAACCAAGCTTAAGACCCAAGTGATATACCTGATGCAGCCAATATATTCTAAAAACTTTGGGGGAAAAAAGCATACTTTTTTAAATGGCGATCTAAGAGCCATTTTACGGAAATCATAAAATCAAAAAAATCCAGCCAGAAAGCATCATCAAGCATTTCGTTTTCAATGAAAAGTACCAAGTCTTCTTTGTCAAAAATCTTAGCTTTTGTTTTTATATCACCGTAAAAGAATTTTAGGTAGGTTTCAACTCTGGGATACTTCGCCTAGATAATGTAATTGGGCATAGAGTACAAAGTCCAGAGAGATGAAGATGCTCGATTCTTGTCAACTCTCATATGTTTGAAATAAGAAAGAAGCTGGGTTTCACTCGGCGCTTGAGTTTCTAGTTCATCAGCTTGGAAATACTCTTTAAACTAATTCCAGCTCTTTGCATACATATTACATATGGCGGCTCTTTTCTTTAATATTTTCTAAAGCCTCATTATCACTTAGGATCGACATCCTCCTCTTTACAAAAACTGGGACCAACTGAGCTTTGAGGGGTTTCGATGTTGGTTCCCGGATTTTTTAGAAATTTTAGAAGATTTGTAACATGCCATTTAGATTCAAAAATTGCTAAAAAATCTTACTAGGCTTTTATGGCGCTTCAGAGCTGAAAACTTTAGAATGGAATATCCTTAATCCTGATCGGTAAATTTATCTGGAGATTAATATAAAGAGGAGAACAAGCATTATTTAATCTGGAGATTAAGAAAAAGAGTGTATCAAGCATAAGTCCAGTTATCCACCATTCAAAAGTTCCCAGTTCTGACCCATATTCTATTTCAACTTTTGATTGTGGGTTTATCTGTGAGCATCTTCTCTTTGTACAGTGTAAAACAAAAACAAAAAAAGTGTGCGGATTTCATAATATATTTTCACGCATTTCCAAAATTTTACAATAAAAAAATCTTTTAAACACAATTTTTAAAATTTTGATCATTCACAAACATTCCCTGCAGGGGTCACGTGAGGTCCCATACAAAATTTGGGCTCGATCGGTTCAGCCGTTTTCACATTTATTGGATATAAACAAAGAAGAAGACAAGCTAAATCTATATATAGATTTCATGAATCCTATTTTGTAATAAGATTCATTTAACTCATCCAAATAGGCTGAGGTTAATAAGTAACCCCATTGTATCAAGACAAGTGCTCAATTATAGTTTCGTAAAATTACCTTCAAATAACTATTTATAACACTGTTATTTTGGTGCGACGTGCTATCAAGTTTTTGGACTATATATAGCTCGGGAAAAAAGACTTGAACCTTGTCGATAAAGATAAAATTTCTTTCCAAAACTTGATAGCACTGCGAACCTAAATAAGAGTTTTATAAATAGTTATTTCAATTGGAACCTTTACACTAGAAAACGTTTAAAGGGGCGGTTCACTTATTCGGGAGTTTTACGGTTAACTAAGTAGCCTAATAGGTATTCATTGGTATCAGTTTTACTTTTCAAAGACAACGGTGGCCTGAGAAAAAGCCGATTTATCTAAAGAATTCCAGCGCAAAGGAATGATACCCTTGCTTTACACTATTTTTATCATATTCATAGATTTTTTATAAATTTTCAATATTGAATTTAATCATATTATCTAATGGTAAATTGTATATATCTTTAATTGTTTTTAAATCATTTCTTTTTTGAGATCTAGATATTTATTATCTCCGTATCGAGATTATATTAATTGTACAAAATTGTTCACATGTATTTAAAACAACTATTTTACGATACTATTGTGTACATATATTTTTAAATTAAATAATAAAAAATCGTACGGATACATTTTATCGTTTTTTCCTTTCATTAGAAATTTGGATTTAGGGATACTTGGATCCTGCAAAACATACAAATTGAAGAGTGCAAAAATGAAAGTGCATAGAATAAATTGCATATAATTAGTCGGTGACGAAGAAGTAAAATTATCTCTACCTTCTTATCTAATATGGATTCTAATTTTTGGTCAAATCTATTAAGGTTGTTATTCAACTGAAAACGTGTTGATAAGTTCAAAGAATTGACGTTCTGTGATAGAAAACGTATACCATTTAGATCCTTAAATACCGTCATTACTGGAACGCTGAGTACTATGTCGAGTATTACTGAATATAAAGGTAGTAATGCGTGAGTAAAGAGTGAGAACGCTTTTGATAAAATGAAGTGGAACGTAAATTTTTAAAAGAATTTTAAATTTTTCATTGATTATGTTTGAGTAAAGCGGATAAAAGCATACAAGTTTGAGGTTTAATAATTGAGGAGGATCAGAAAAGACACAAGCAATCTGATCCTCAACGATTATTTGAAAAGATAAATAATTAAATTGTTTCATAGTTTTAAAAGCTTCAATAAATGTTGGAATGAGTATACTGTTAAGTTTAATATACTGTTAAGTTTAAATCATTTCAATATTGTCTATTTTCAAAATATAACTCATTTAAAACATTTGACGGTTTGATATGTTTTCCCTTCTTCCCGAGGAATCCCTTTGTCTGAGTGAGAAAGTCGTCTTTATATAAACGTGTTAATTTGTTAAATCATGTTAAAACACAAAAAACGTTAACTTTTTGCTAATTCTAAAATAAAAAGTTTTTATACCATATTTTAAAATCGCTGACAAATTATGTCAATATGCTAATTTTAGATTTTATTTGGGTTGCTGAAAAAAAAACTTTAAATAGTGTCTTCGCAAAGATATCATACCAATTGCGTTGGAATTTTTAACGATAAATCTGCTTTTCCTCGGTCATAGATATCTTTGAAAAGTAAGACTAATACCAATGAATAGCTAATAGGCTAATTAGACCACTATGCAATACCCAAATAAGTGAACGGTCCCTTGAAATCAAACTCAAATTTCACTAGTAAAAGATAAAGAGAATTTGTTTTTGATTCATAAAAATATTTCTATTCGCTAGGGAATTGAGCTTTTGGCACAAACTCTAATTTTCTAATCCCTATCTTTGCTACCCATTATGAATTCTGTCAGATCAAAAAGTCTAAGTTTGAAATATCAAAGATTTACTACGAACATTGCAAAGAAAGAGAGATTAGAAAAATTGAGTTCGTGGAAAAAAACATAAATTGCATAGAACAAATAAGTCACAGGTCGATGTCTCATGTCGGATGGACGGTATTCATCATTTTTATTGTAATTTTTATTTCTTACATTTAGATACTTTTCAATTAAAAAATAGAGGTAAAAACTTTGGAGGGGCAGCCTTTTTAAACACCCAGAAAAGTTTGATGTAAAATGTAAAATATCTCTCTTAAACCTAAAAATATTATTATTTTATTATAAAGATTTATTCACACACAAAGATATAAATACATATATAAATGGTGTAGTTTAAATTTGTTTGAATAAAGTTTTTGAAAATACAGCGGAGGGTCAGTTTTTTTCACATGGTTCAAAAGTATTGGTCTGAGGCTGATGAAATTTTCTGACTTTTCCTTAAAACCAATAGCCCATCCTTTTAGGTCTAAAACCGGACTTTTATCCTGTACTAACTGCCTGAGTCCTCAGGCACACTGCCTGAAGGACTACTTTTTTCCTGTAACCTATTAAATCTTTGTTTTGGCCCACTTTCAGTTTTCAGATTTGGATATTTTTTTTTTATTTTTTGGAATGCCTTTGACGTAGGGAAAAGGATTTTATAAGTTTGGGAAAGAAATTTATGCTAATTATTTGCATACGATTACGAACCGTCAACAGAAGTTTGTACACTTTTAGTTTTTCTTTATTACACAACAGGCTATTAAAAATTAACATTTTTGCATATTTGAATTGGCATGGTCAAGAACTTTCAATAATTTATAGTATATAGTTTTTTGGACATTTTTTAGCAATTTTTTAGCTGATTCTAAAAGTAGAGCAAGAGCTTTCCAATGATGTATCATTTGTCATATTTGGAAATCAAACATGGAATTTGGAGAGAGGGGGGTTCGAATTGACCCCCCCCCCCCAGCCTATCCTGGTTTTCAAGTATACCCCAGCAGGGATAGGGTTAATATTTAGTTGAAACGTTTAATTAGGAAATATTTAAATTTAATACAAATTTCTTTCAACCATGAATTGTAATGAACGAAATGAAAGATATAAACGAAATGAATGAAATGAACGAATTAGATATGCTGTTCTTAAATCTTTTTATTTTACAAAAAAAAATTTATTGTTTTCATGAACTTATACAAGACTTATTGATCTAACAGAACTCATAGTTTAAAATAACAAAGGGTTACGACATTCCGGGTTGTTGAGATACTTATCTATGGATTGAATTAATTAATAATTTTAGTATGCTGAATGATGGGTTTGGGGATATCGTGATTTCAGGTAAATGCACCTTTAGCTTTTTATACATTTCCCTAATTAATGTAACTGTAACCTTGAGCTTTTTATGCATTTCCCCAATTAATGTAACTATAACCTTGAGCTTTTTATACATTTCCCCAATTAATGAAACTGTAACCTTGAGCTTCTTATACATTTCCCCAATCAATGAAACTGTAACCTTGAGGTTTTTATACATTTCCCCAATTAATGTAACTGTAACCTTGAGCTTTTTATACATTTCCCCAATTAATGAAACTGTAACCTTGAGCTTTTTATACATTTCCCCAATTAATGAAACTGTATCCTTGAGCTTTTTATACATTTCCCTAATTAATGTAACTGTAACCTATGAATTAATTGCTTATTTTGAGAAGAGAAACTGTTAAAGAACTTTTTTTAAAACCTCTTTTTAATATTTTTGTTTATATTAATAACATTATATTAGTAATTTCGTAACATTTTCGTGACAAATTTGATTTAGAGATAAATGTGTAAGTGAAATCAAAACCATTCTGTCTAACTAATCATTTAAACAGTTTTAGACACTTTCTCTCTTCTCTCTTCTCAAAACTTGTTGGATTAAAATATATTGATGTTTAATGTTGAATGTTTAATTTCACGACTATTCGAATATATATAAACACGCTCGCAAGGCAAGCGAATTCTTGGTCACAAGTTATCGTTCTTTCTTCGCTGGGAGGGTTTGTACTGAATTTTTGATGCATGAAGTCCTGGTTCAGATTCAGGGCAAAAATAGTAAATGATAATTCACAAGATAAACATACACGGATTTAAATTGAATAATAAATTGATAAATTGATACATCCATAAATTAACGGTTCTTGTTTTGGGATAAAATCATCCATCAGCCCAGCTAGACATATAAAACCATGTAGGCAGGAAGATTCCAAGCACTTTCACGAAGCAAAATTATAAAGGAGGAAAAAGTATAAAATGAAGGAGAGAAAAGTTAAAACTACTTTAAAGGTAAAAAAGTAGAATGTGAACAAGGATATTGGATTATAAGGAAAAAGCCAAGGATATGTTAAAAAAGGATAGATAAAAACTATTATTAGTACGAGATTGAGGGAAGTAGGATTGGGACAGAGAAGACAAACCTTTTAATTTACATTTTCATTTCTTTAACCAAATATAATTGGTGCATGTGTTATGAAAAATGTTTATGAAACAATAATATATCTTTAAATCATCATTTTTTGTTCACTAATTGTCATTTATCATGTAAAAAGTCAACAATAATAATAAACATTTTTTTCTAATATTATATATGTGGAATCCCAAACAATAGGAATCTTAAACGACTATCAACAAATGTTCACAATGTTGGGATTGGACTTGGTTTAGGATCAATGTATACATGAGATAAGAAACAGTTGGGAACAGGCAAAATAGGTTGGGAATAGGAATGGAAATCAACTGTGGAAGAAGTTGAGATTGGAAGAGTTGTAATTAAGATCAGGATTAGATAGGGACAAATTGGGAGAAGGTAAAATAGGTTGGGAATCGGAATGGATATCAACTAAAAAGGAAGTTGGGACTGGGATTCAATGAATGTTTTGATGAAAAAAGGGTTGGTAAATTGAGAGTTAGAGTAATTGGGAAAATTGAGTAATGAATTTATATTTTTTGTGAACCACTGTATTGGAAGAGAATAAGCTAAAGCGATGTTGAGGCCAGACAGAGGCAAGAAACAGCCATTATTTAGAAATTAAATAATTAATTCCCCAGCCCTTTTCAAATTTGTGATAGGTCTCTTTAATTTAACATATTTGCTTTCAGGATATACTGTTAAATATAAAAGATGGAAAACTGTCTCATTCGGATTTCCATTTATAACCAAGATAGATTATATTTACAGTGAAAAGAAAACAGCCAAGGTAAAAGTATAAAATTGAACAACAAGTGTATTGTATTTAAAACCTTTTAGATACATCATATTCTTATGCATAAACGTTAAACCTTCCAAATCTTGACATTCATTAAAATTAAAAACGTTAAACCTCCCAAATCTTGACATGCATTAAAACTAAAAACGTTAAACCTTCCAAATCTTGACATTCATTACAATTAAAAACGTTAAACCTCCCAAATCTTGACATGATAAAAAACTAAAAACCTTAAACCTTCCAAATCTTGACATTCATTAAAATTAAAAACGTTAAACCTCCCAAATCTTGACATGATTAAAAATTAAAAACGTTAAACTTCCCAGATCTTGACATGCGTTAAAAAACTAAAAACGTTAAACCTCCCAAATCTTGACATGCGTTAAAACTAAAAACGTTAAGCCTCCCAAACCTTGACATGTGTTAAAACTAAAAACGTTTAATCTCCAAAATCTTGACATGAACTAAAATTAAAAACGTTAAACCTCCCAAATCTTGACATGCGTTAAAACTAAAAACGTTAAACCTCCCAAAATCTTGACATGCGTTAAAACAACTAAAAACGTTAAACCTCCCAAATCTTGACATGCGTTAAAAGGCTTAACTTTAAAAATTAAATCTACCAAATCTTGACATGCACTAACACTAAAAGCGGTAAGCTTCCAAATATTGACATGCATTAAAAATTAAAAACGTTAAACCTCCCAAATCTTGACATGCGTTAAATCTAAAAACGTTAAACCTCCCAAATCTTGACATGCGTTAAAACTTTAAACATTAAATCTACCAAATCTTGACATGCACTAACACTAAAAGCGGTAATCTTCCAAATAGTGACATGCATTAAAAGTTTAAACGTGAAATCTCCCAAATATTGACATGCATTAACACTAAAAACGTTAATCTTCCAAATATTGACATGCATTGGAACTTAAAACTTTAATCTCCGAAATCTGGACATGCATTAAATCCTAAAACGATTAATCTCCCAAATCTTGACATGCATTAAAGTTTTCACTTGAGTCTGAAGAATTTTAGGGTTAAGTGTTAGTGGTTTAGATTGAATTAATTCGTTATGATAAAAGTTTTCATGTTAATGAAAGTTGACTAAATGATGTATTTTGTTTGAACATGTTCGTGTGAGAGTACACTATTTCTGTGTTAAGTTTGTTCAGGTGGGAGAGAAATTTTAAAACGATGTGTTCAGTTTGAAAGTGTTCACGTGTTTATGGGGTTTAGATAAGAAAATGTGATGAAAATGTTCGTTTTTAGGTATCAGAAAGTGGTCTGTACGATGTGTTCAGTTTAAACATATATCTTATAATCCTTCTCTCCATATGTCTAGTTTGTGTACTATTTATAGTACTCGTATACCAAGTAAGTTTGTTTAATGAAAATATTAGAATAGTACAAAAAATGTGCAAAAAAATTATATGTACAATTGTACATAAATAATATTTAAATATATTTAATTTTAATGATTTTTTCACGTCGATTTCATTTACTTTATTAAGAAATTAGAGTAATTCATTGTTGAAATAAATATATATTTAGCGGGATTTTTTGAAAATAATTATTTTAGGAAGGTTACGCATTTTAAACTAAAGTGTGTAGAAAACTTGTATTTTTAGGATGGGCATAAGTTTGAGTACAGATATACATATGCAGTTTTATACGTTTTAGCAGCATTTTTTCAGGTAACTCTGGGTTGAAAATAGTTTTAGAATAAAATGTTTTTTCTTTCTGGCATTATTTGAAATTTTTAATTCTGTATTGTTTACCACGGGTTAGAAAGGAACAATATGTTTTTCAGTTTCATATGCTTGTTATTTTTGACATTGCAAAAATATTCCCCCCCCCCCCCCACCCCACCATCCATCCAACTCCTACTTTCCAAAAACCCTCATAAATCATGACTCTCAAGAAATAATAAAATTTAAAGAAGATTTTTATTAGAAAAAAACTATCACTTTTGGCGAATTAGAAAATTTTTCGGGCGGAATAATTAGTTTAACTTTCCACTGAGTTCAACTACTTAAAGCAGTTCATTAGATCCGACCTCCCAGAAGTTCTATTTTTTATACAGATTAACCTAGAACTTCGGAGACATCAAACAATTCATTGAATGTCGTCTTCACAATTTTCCACTGGGTTTCATACTATCAAGCCTAAATCTCAGTATTGGATTATTAAATTTATAGCCATTAATTTTTTTAAAGAAAAAAATATATATCTGCATCATTTCATTATCAGTAGCTTAGGGAAACGACATTTTATAAAATTCTTTCGATATCCTTGAAGTTATTGGTTAAACTGTACTAGTTTTAATTCGATATCCTTGAAGTTATCGGTTAAACTGTACTAGTTTTAATTCGATATCCTTGAAGTTATTGGTTAAACTGTACTAGTTTTAATTCGATATCCTTGAAGTTATTGGTTAAACTGTACTAGTTTTACTATTTTTACTAGTTTTAATTAAAAATGTATTGTTTAGGAAACCTATCCTGAGACTAGATTACCCCGGGGAGCATACTTTATCATCCTCCAATGGTAGGTTTTAAAAGAATTTTTTGTATTATAATATTTGTTAACTTTTTTATTTTAATATTTTTTGTATTTTACTATCTCTATACTAGGTATTTATACTCCATGATGCTTACTACAATGTATTCAAGGTCAGAAACCTGAAATTTAAAATTTGATATAATTTTAAAAAATGATTAAAAAATATCTCTTGATGTAGTGTTCTGATTACACAATTGACTTACACAAAACCAGCCTACCCGGTCAACACTCTGGAGGATGTGGTCAATAAGGAAAGCAAAAATCTTCGAAAATTAAATATCAGCTGTTGTATTTCAAATTTGGCGCCAAATTAATCAGCTTAATTTTTGCAGGGATTGAAGCCTTTGATGTTCGAAGGAAGTTCTCTGATAGATGATTGGCGGCAATCCGATAATGAGATATATCGTGTTCTTGTGAACAGCTTAGAGACATATACTAATAATACCAGGGCTATTAAGTAAGTATACAATTAGTTCAAAAGTTTCATGAGTACAACAGTGCTGGTCTATTCTTTATTACTGTACCAGCCCGTCTGGTGAACCCGGTATGTGGTTGAGCCAACGCGTTTTATGCAACAAAATTACGCTAACTGAACCATAGTGTATAATGTATATATACATTAGATAGAGAACTTTTTATAACAATATTTTTTTGGAATAAGTTAAATCACCCCCTCCCAGGGGCGGATACAGGATTTAAGTGAGGGGGGGGCAAGATTTTTTAGGAACAAAAAACGATTAATTAGGAACAAAAAATCGTGCCGCAAAATTTTTTTTGGACTTAAAAGACTCAAAAAGAGTCAAAATTAATGACTAAAGACTAAAAAACTAGATAAAGGATTAGAACAGGAATTTAGGAACAATTAAAAGATTGTTCAGGAATTAGGAACAAAAATAAAGGATTAGGACAGNATAATTTGGTTTTCTTTTAACAATCATTTTAGATTTTCTATAAAATGATATTCCAGGGCCCAACAGGTTATATAGCATAAATATGTGGAGTACACCTGCAGTATGAAAACAGTACAACAAAATGGCCGTTTTACACTTTTTTCTAGTTAATTTCTCTCTATATATTCTATTCTCTATGGACATAATGGATCGAAATAGGACAAAATCAAACCATATTTAAATAATGCTCATTTTTTCAATTGTAAATGCATTCTTTTTACTGTTTCTAGGATGATAAAAGATGACTTTGCCCTTCTAGCTGAGAGCACAGTTGTTGAATATGAACTAAACCAGAATACTAACTCAAACTCAATACATATCTACAGGTAACTTAACACATGTTAAAAAACGATATTTTTAGAGCAATAAAGGATGTCTTTTTTTGCAAGGGACTGTATCCGCAAAGATGGCAATGCCTGATTCATGCATAACGGTACCCTTAACATGTATTTCTGATCAAGTATGAACTATATATCAAAATTTATAATTTTTAAAAACTAATTATTTTGAAATATGGTTTCTCTGAAAAAGCAACATTCGCATTTCTACTGCAGGAAAATATGAAGGAGTTCTACTCTTATTAACCTAGAGAAAACACAGTAAAAGAATTTAGTTATACTGCAGGAAAACATGAAGGAGTTCTACCCTTTTTAACCTAGAGAAAACACAGTAAAAGAATTTAGTTAAACAAAATTTTAAAAAAAAACTTGCATCTTTATTATCCAAGATAAGGCGTAACTTGAACCAAATATTTTGCTTTAGAATTATGAAAACGTAAATTTAATTAAGGATTATAAAATATAAAAATTACGTAAATCTTGTTTTAGCTTAAATAGGGATGGGAAAACTCCTGGGGTTGTGGTGGGGAATAAATTAAAAATTGCGCATTCACCCAACAATTCGTTTTCAAAGATCTTTTCTTAAAAGACACCAAAAATGTAATTCTTACAATTTTCCCAGAGGAGATGTCCCAGGACCTAATCTCCCCCCCCCCGCTTACCCCCACATTTGCTGCCAAGGCCTTTATATAAAGGTTTAGGTACCCTTTTTAAAGAGTAAAATTTTAATTAGTTTCACCCTAACAAGGATATATCTTTCATTGATCCTAAGGTTATAAGATCACACACAAGAATTGATTTATTCCGCTTTGCATGGCAGTCTTGATCAATGAGACTTATTCCATTTGCAACTTTTTCGAGATCGTTTCTATAATTCCAATTTTTTTGTATATCTAAAGAATTTAATTTTCATAGATCTGAGGATTCCTTTACTGCAGGACAGTATGGTTCTTGGATTTTCGGACTTAAGGTAAAAAATACCATAAATCAGGGAATCATTCATTTGGGCGTACACATCCTGTTTTGTCTTCTGTAGACTGTAATTGTTTAGTACAGCCGCGGACAATGTTACAACTTACTCTAGTTTGTTAAAAGTCGGCCTGGTACTTAAACTACCGTATAAATAAAAAATCGTCTTTTCCACTAATTTACATATGGATCTCTAATTGGATTATAAGTAATTGAATAGACCGATAGATCGATAGATCTGGCCGCCTTTGAAATTTGATTGGTCAGGAGTACTCACTAAGCACGTGATTGAACCCTAAACGGATCAGAGTCTACTGGATGTTTGAAACTTCTGTGGAATTGAACCTGAGTTTTAAACTGAAAATATTTTTTCAAATATGTCCCCTGAATGAGACCTATAAACTTCGAAATATTTTTTTAGTATTATTAAAATGGTCTGGCNGGGGGGGGGGGGGCAGCAATAATGAGTTTACATCATAAACCTCTCATTCGAGTCAAATATTAAGGCTCGGTCGCTTGAGTAATATTTTTAAGAGAAGTTTCTGAGTCAAAGTAATGTTGTGTTGAAGATCTAAAATCCGACGATAGACTGGTCATTTTTTGTGAAAACTCATAAAATTGGTATTTTTTAAGGAATCAGAGACCAAACTAATACTTTGGCGGGCTGCCGACGCCCCATCATCGTTTAATAATGGTTCTTAGAATCTATTTATATATCTAGATTGTTCTGAATGTAATTTTGTGTAAAAAAGCTATGAAGTAAAATGTTTTTTTTCCCAAAAAAAATAGTTTGCTTTGACAAAGACGACATTCTAAATATATTGCGGGTTTACCGTTGTCATGCATGGAGCGGACTCCTGCATGGGTGGACTCTCCCTAAAGTAGACATAAAAAGAAATGTTAAAACATTTAAAATTATTATTTGACATAAATTAGATGTATTTTAAAGGGGGTGTAAACAAAAAAATTTATTCGCATTGAATGTTTTCTTCCTTTCAAGTCATCAAATAATTATAATTTATTTGCGTCACAGATAATTTTTAATGTGTTTTGTCAAATCAAAATACATCAATAAATATCGGAAAATGTCATAACATTGCTTTTTATGTCTAAGTCTAACATTGAAAAGGTTAAAACTTAAGGGGGAGTCCGCCCCATGCACCACACCAGGTTCATTTAAGGATAAAGATCTGAACGAGAAATGTAAATATAAATTTAAGTAATTATAAATCAATGCAAGCTGCAATTCAAACAATATTTGCAAATGGAAAAATTATCAAAATATATTCATTTTTTCCATTCTCACTATAAAACAAAAGACAAATCCATTTTAAGAGGAGTATTATGACAAAAACCAGTCATTGCATGGGAAATAAATTTGCGTGTTCTCTTCACCGAACATTTCTTAAAGTTAAGAAAGAGAAAATTATCAATAAAACTTTAATGATAAAACTTCACAATGCCGAGCTCCCATGGTGAAGATTTCCACGTAGTGAAAAGTTTTTTTGTCCAATTAACTGTTGCAGCTTCCTTTGGCACAACGCAAACGTTTTCTTCCGCTGACAACCCTAGTTTTGACTAGGGCTGGGCAAAGTTCCGTTTTCGGAAATTAACGGAAGATTCCATTAACGAAAGGCAAAAACCGTTAATTTTAAAATCGTTAAGGAAACGGATTTGCCATTTTTGAAAAAAATAACGGTTGAAAACGAAAAGGAAATGGATTGTTTAAAAAAACGGTTAATTTCGTTTTTTCCTGCTTAAAATTGCATGAAAATTTATGTGTTTTGATGTTTTTAAATTTCGTCTTCTGTGTTCACAACCGTCAACTATTTTAAAAACGGTAGGAACTAACCGATAACGAAAAGGCTTGAAAAAGTTGGAACGTGCCCAGCCCTTTGACCGGATATCAAAACAGATTTCACTTCTCTTTATACATAGATGGTATGAATATGAAATATGTATTAAGAATCCACTAGCTGATGATGTATCAAGGTTCCTTCAGCGTTGTTATGAAACAGGGATCTATACAAAGGTATCTACAGGGTTTCCCACGAAACATGACACTAGCAAGACGAATAAAAAGTCGTCTTTTAACTTTGAATTTATTTGTGACATTCAGTCTTCTTTCATATGTAGATTCCTGAAACAATAACCACAAAATTTGCCTAGTCCTGCCGTTTCCAAAATGTGGTTTGCCTTTTTTGTGCTTTCAATATTAAGAATTTCGTTCAGATTTAACTTTTATCAAATGAAACCAAAATTGTCGAAATCTGAAGGAAATTATCATATCTCCGGAAATATTGAAAGCAAAAAAAGGCAGACCACAATTTGGAAATGCCAAGACAAGGTAAGGTGTATACCGCTATGAACCTACTTATTGCCGACCGGTTCAGCCAATTGTTGAATACAAGCAAAATTAAGACTCAAGTAACTGGGGCTGTCCAAATGTTTATATTGCTCTACATTAGGCCGGTGTATGGTTTGACTTTGGAACTAAGCATAGGGTAAAGTGGTATTCCTGTATTATCTGTTCTAAAAACTTCGCAAAAATAAAAAAAATCAACAAATTTTTAAATCTCGAGCGAGAGCTATCAAAAAGTTCCCAGTAAGACCGAAAATAAATATTTCTTAAAATATATCGATATGGGTTTTAGAAGATAATCATGTACAGGGTTACTAACAAAGGATGAGATTTTAAAGAAAATTGTAGTACATTTGACTTTCTGAGCCGGGTCAACCTTTCCGGAACCAGTTTGTACTGTATCAACAATTTTTTAAATCTCGAGCGAGAGCTATTAAAAAGTTTCCAGTAAGACCGAAAATAAATATTTCTAAAAATATATCGATATGGGTTTTAGAAGATATTCATGTACAGGGTTACCCACAAAGGATGAGACTTTAGAGAATATTGTAGTACATTTGACTTTCTGAGCCGGGTCAACCTTTCCGGAACCAGTTTGTACTGTATCGCCCGGACATTGGGGCAGACACTCAAGAGGACTAGCCGGTGCAACAAGGTTGACACGATCAGACTTTAGGATGAATTTACTTTTACTGAAGGGTCAGAGGTGCTTGATAGAAATAATATTAACACAAAAATGGCTCTCAGCTTTAGGGGTATTTATTATGATCGCAGACACCCTATAGGCTCTAAGGGGAAAAAGTGAACAATAAACGATAAATATTTATATGAAATTTTATTTAAGTAAATAAAAGGATTTCAAATAATAAACTTATTCTCTAGATCCTAAGAGACTTTACAAAGTATGAACTACAAGGGAAAACCTTAACACTGCCTCAGAAACTAGATCTTGTACATTTTAAGGTTGGTTTAATCTAAATGTTTAGAGCAGAATATTATTAAATATTTATATTTTTTCTTAATACCCTTTCATTCTGGGTTTCCAGTTTTATTTGTAATTGTTGATTTACCCGGGGGTGACATTTTTTTCTAATTTGAAATTTTGAAAATGAATGCAAAGTGTTTTAATCTTTCACGGGCAACGACGGGAAATTCGGCAAGTTTTAAAAAATGTAACTTAAAAAAATAATAAAGGTGTTGAGTTTGTTACTAGCTATAGGACTCACTCTCGCTTTAGCACTCTTTCTCCCAATTAATTCCTTTGTTTAGGTTTTGAGCTTGTTACATAGCTATAGGACTCACTCTCACTTCAGGACTCTTTCTCCCAATTAATTCCTTTGTTTAGGTTTTGAGCTTGTTACTAGCTATAGGACTCACTCTCACTTCAGGACTCTTTCTCCTAATTAATTCCTTTGTTTAGGTGTTGAGCTTGTTACTAGCTATAGGACTCACTCTCACTTTAGCACTCTTTCTCCCAATTAATTTTTTTGTTTAGGTTTTGAGCTTGTTACTAACTATAGGACTCACTCTCGCTTCAGGTCTCTTTCTACCAATTAATTTCTTTGTTTAGGTTTTGAGCTTGTTACTAGCTATAGGACTCACTCTCACTTTAGCACTCTTTCTCCCAATTAATTTTTTGTTTAGGTTTTGAGCTTGTTACTAACTATATGGGACTCACTCTCGCCTTGGGACTCTTTCTCCCAATTAATTCTTTTGTTTAGGTTTTGAGCTTGTTACTAGCTATAGGACTCACTCTCACTTTGGGACTCTTTCTCCCAATTAATTCCTTTGTTTAGGTTTTGAGCTTGTTACTAGCTATAGGACTCACTCTCGCTTTAGCACTCTTTCTCCCAATTAATTCCTTTGTTTAGGTTTTGAGCTTGTTAGTAGCTTCAGGACTCACTCTCGCCTTGGCACTCTTTCTCCTAGAGATTATTTTTCCTCCTGGGAAACTCACAAAAATTCAACTCTCTTTTAAAAATAGTACTTAAGAAAGAAACCTACAAAAAGCACAAACATTGCAAAATTATAAATTTATTCATCGCAATGTAAAATCAATTTGATACAAATTCTCGCAAATATAGTTTCCAGAACTTCTTTAACATTTTTTTCAATGTTCTGTCAAATAAGAAAATAAAACTGTAAAGGAGTTGAGTTTTCCCCACAAACTCTGATATTTTAATACCTATATCTTTGCAAACCAATGTCGTAGACCTTAGATATTTCAAACTATAAACTCTGTTAGATCACATAATCTAAGTTTGAAATATCTAAGGTTTACACCGCCAGGTTGCAAAGATAAAGGGAATATTCGAGTGGCAAAGACTCAACTCCTGGATTTTAACTTACATTAGCAATAAACCATTACATTTCAAATAATACAAAACAGTGGAATTAGGGAGTTATGTTTACATATGAAAAAAATAAAACAAAAACCACAATGTCTTACTCGAGATGATACAGTTTAAATACTTACAAAAGTAATGATTTTTAATCCCTATATCTTTGCAACCAAATGTGGAACACTAGTTATTTCGAACTTCGAATTTCGATGATACAGGTATATCAACAAATAATAATATAAGTTTGAAATATCTAAGGTTTACACAATCATGTTGCAAAAATATAGGAATTAGAAAATTAGAGTTTGAGACAAAACTCAATCTGTCGTAATTTCCTGGACTGGTTCCCGGGTGTCTGCATCCCGTCGTAAAAACTTAATAAAAAATATACTTTAAAATAAAAAGAGTTTTTTAACCTATTCTTCAAGTCTCTTATTTTTATTTCTTTGGCAACATTTGAGAGAAAATACTAGATACACTGACAGTAAACTAGATAGAAGGAGGTCATATTGGGACATTACTGGAAATAATTTCTTTCCTTGGAGATACTGTTGATTTTATAATATAACAGTATGTTGATTTTATGCACTATAAGCCAAGCAAACATTTTCAAATCCTAAACATTTTTGTTCTTCTCAATAGCTCTTCAACAGTATTAAAAATTCATAACTTGCACATTAAAATTAATCTAGTTTGAATGATTTTTTAAAATTGTCTATAATGGAACAGAATTTATTTTTAAAATTGTCTAATGGAACAGAAAAAAATTAAGAATATGTTTTTTGTAACAAATATGCCTTGATGCGTGAAAATCTATTTTTTGAAAAAGATAAACTGTTTTATAAAATAAATAATTCTTTAAGATGCAACATATATGTACAGTATACAGGGGTTTCCAATCGAAAATCCTTTGTGCACAATTAAGTGAAAATGTGCGGATATGCGCGTAATTACATGGGTTGCAATTTCGCGTAATTACATGGGTTGCAATTTCGCGCAATTACATGGGTTTCAGTTGCACGCAATTACATGGGTTGCAATTTCACGCAATTACATGGGTTGCCATTGCGCGCAATTACATGGGTTGAAATTGGGCGCAATTAAATGGGTTGCAATAGCGCAAAATTGACTTGCATTGGAAACTCTAAATGTACATACATGATATATAAATATATAAATAAAATAATCCATTGGATTCGCAACGTGAACTATGCTCTTTAATAATATAAACTTAGTCTAGAGAAAATAAATCGTGCTTCGGAACTTAACTTTTGATAATTTTTTTCAGGAACAGGAAAAATCCCAACAACTTTCTTAGAGCTTAAAGGGAGTGTTCGCGAAAAATGAAAGAGGTTATAGGCTAACGTCAAATTGAATTTGATGGTGATCTTACTTCAATCAATTGCGCCTTTACCCACTTTATTTTTTGCGAAAAATTCCTTTAAATAATCATTTAATCTTTTCTTCGCATTTGAGACTCTTCCTGCTATTTCGTGGACAGTAACTTTAAACTTGGTTTCTGCAACATCAGAAAACTATTTTCTTCTTGTCAAGGTTGTATAATAAGGTTGTTTACTCATTATGCACTCCAATGTACGAACAATGTCGTCTTCTAAGATGGATAGATGAAAACCTCATGTGACGTCACTCTCGCCTCTATAATCAGTGACATCATATGATATTTTTTCTTAGGAGACGACATTTTCCGTACATTGAATCGCATCCATAGTAACCAACAGCTTATTATACAACATTGGTTTTTGTTTACCTTGGTTTTAAAGCCTAGAACAAATATGACGACTAAACAGGTTAGATATCCAGCCAACAACATCAGAAAACTTTAAGTAAAGATTAAGCAGGTTAGATATCCAGCCAACAATATCAGAAAACTTTAAGTAAAGATTAAGCAGGTTAGATATCCAGCCAACAACATCAGAAAACTTTAAGTAAAGATTAAGCAGGTTAGATATCCAGCCAACAACATCAGAAAACTTTAAGTAAAGATTAAGCAGGTTAGATATCCAGCCAACAACATCAGAAAACTTTAAGTAAAGATTAAGCAGGTTAGATATCCAGCCAACAACATCAGAAAACTTTAAGTAAAGATTAAGCAGGTTAGATATCCAGCCAACAACATCAGAAAACTTTAAGTAAAGATTAAGCAGGTTAGATATCCAGCCAACAACATCAGAAAACTTTAAGTAAAGATTAAGCAGGTTAGATATCCAGCCAACAACATCAGAAAACTTTAAGTAAAGATTAAGCAGNTAATAATAATAATAATAATAATAATAATAATAATGAAGTCCTCTTCCTACCCCCTGTTGTTCTGAAGGACTAAGATCCTGTTCTAGTAAAGATGAAACAAGAACAAGCAGCGCTCCTTGAATCTAGAATAAATAAGATATGTCGTTGAATATCTATCAATAACATAGTGTCTGCCCAGTTTCGGGCAACTTTGAAATACCACGGGCAGGTTTAATTTGCATAGTTGACATAGGTTGAATCAAGAAAACAAATATGATCATCAGTTGCTTTCTGCTCTTGGCAGGATTCAGACCTCTGCCCATAGTAGCTCCTTTGGAAAAGCGCTGCCTAGAGTTGCTCATGACTCATCCTACAGGACAGTAGCAAAACATAGGATTTAAACAGTAAACAAGAACTCCATCTTCAGCTGATCTTGGCTCCCTCATACTCTTCCTCCTCCAAACTTCTTTATCTCTTTCCTACCTGCTTCACAACTTGATGTCACAAGGACTATTTGGAGAGGCTTCAAAATGTACAAAATGCCCCAGTCAGGAAAGAGCTACACTGAGATACTCAAAAGTAATAAATTAAAAGAAACAAGAAGAAAAAAGAAAATAGAATAGAAAAACTGGAAGTAAACTCTCAAATGATAAGCTTTACACTTTCAACTTTTATCTCCTTAGCAAATGGAGACATCATTTTAGAACCCCCTTTCATTTATAAAAAAAAATATTGTCTAACTCTGCCCTGCCTAGCTTTACTGAATAAAGCTAAACTTGATAAGAGTTCAATAACCTCTGGAGCTTCGCTTGGTCTGAAGCCAAAATAGATAAGAGTTCAATACCCTTTAGAATCAACTTGGTCTAAAACCAGATATAAATAGCAGCACTTATCAAGGTACAAACATATAACCCACAGTTGCATTAACTTTACTAAATGTCTATTTACAATTGTGAATCATTCTAGCTAAAAATGTTACACACAAAAATGATCATTGAAACCTGACCGGAAAGGAAGAGGGGGCTAACCTGACCAGAAAGGAAAATAAGTGCTAACCTGACCGGAAAGGAAGAGAAGTGCTAACCTGACCAGAAAGGAAGAGAAGTGCTAACCTGACCGGAAAGTAAGAGATGCTAACCTGACTGGATTGGATGAGAGGCTAACCTGACCGGAGAGGAAGATAAGAGCTGTTCCAATACTTTCATCAATAGGATAGGTCACCTCAACACTACCAGACAAATACAAATTGAAATTAATTTTAATATTTGTAATTGCAATGTAAGTGCATTAAATTGTACAATGATGATATTTGCAATTTCAATGTAAGTGCATTCAATTTTACATTGAGGTTTGTATAGAAGAACTTTAAGCAAAAATTGTATGTACAAATTTAAACAGTAATGGTATTTAAGGAATTGAGAGCTAGATTTTGTACATTTTTTTGAGACGTTTCCGATTAAAAAATGCCTTTTTTCTAAATCATAAAATGTAAATACACTAAATATAGAGGTTTTGAGGGCCTTAGAATTAAAATTTCAATTCTAAGTTGTATATTTTGATTGTGGTATTGACAGTAGTGAGATTTGAAAATCCAAAATGAGAAAATAAAATTTAAATTTCATTTTTGAACTGTGGTTTTGATGGAAGTGAGATTTGAAAATCCAAAATGAGAAAATAGAATTTAAACTTTCATTTAAAAACTGTGGTATTTTTGGATTTTCAAATCTCACTACTGCCAAAAAAATGGGTAAAAAATAAAAATAAATTTTTTTTTGTTAAGAAGAAAAGATAAAATTTTGTTCAAAGCATATTAATTTTATATTACTTTTGTCATAAATCTCACTACCTAAGGCCTTGACAGTTTCTCTTTTTTAAACTAAGGCATTTTATACCTACTGCAGGGGGTGGGGGGGGGGGGGGGGGGATTACCACACCCCTCTATTTTGTGGGTCCTCTGTTTTCAAATGAATTAAAATAATAAAGCTGATTTTAGAATTTATTTTAATTTAAGAATTTCACTAAAATTGTTCCTGAGTTCAAGACCAAGCGGATACATTCCAAATCCAAACACTCCAAACAGAGAACAGAACAACATAATCAGAACCTGAACAGAACATTATCAGAACCTGAACAGAACATAATAACAACCTGAACAGAACATAATTAGAACCTGAACAGAACATAATAAAAACCTGACCAGAACATAATTAGAACCTGAACAGAACATAATAAAAACCTGAACAGAACATAATTAGAACCTGAACAGAACATTATCAGAACCTGAACAGAACATAATAACAACCTGAACAGAACATAATAAAAATCTGAAAAGAACTGTTTCGCTACTTAGCGATTTCCCTAAAGACCTAATATATATACCGTGTGGTATTTCTCAGGACCGGATCGTAAGACTCCCTTCTCTCA